GGAACCCAGTGCCTCACACATGCGAGGCAGGTGCTCTACCTCTGAGCTACAGCCCCAGCCCAATACATATTTCTTTTTGAGTAAACATCAAGAGGGAAATTCCTGTGTCAAAGGATGTGCATGTATGTACAGCATTAGTCTCTATTGCCGAACAATATGGAAGAGACTGGTTGTATCAGTTGTACACTTTTATTGGTAGGTTCCAGTTATTTCACATGCCTTATTATCTCTGTTTTTAGTTGTATCCATTCTGGTGGATGTGCACTGCAGTTTTCACATAGTTTTTTTTTTAAACATTTTTATTAGTTATTGATGGATCTTTATTTATTTATTTGTTTATACGTGGGGCTGAGAATCAAACCCAGTGCCTCACACATGCAAGGCAAGTGCTTTGTCACTGAGCCCCAGCCCCAGTCCTCACATAGTTCACATTTGCATTTCCATGATGACTAATGAAGTTGAGCACTTTTTCACATGTTTATTGACATCCAAAACTCTTCATTTAAGTGTTTTGTCCATTTACATCTTTTGGATGTTTGCCCTTTTTCCCATCTACTTGTAGGAATTCCTTATATATTTGGCATGCAGCCTCTTACATATATACACGCTGTGCACGTGTGTGTGTGTTTGTCACTTTGTGGTTTGTGTCTCCATGCTTTTAATGATAACTTTTGATGAATAGTTGTTTGTCGCTCTAATGTGGTCAATTAACCCTCTGTTGCCAATGCTCGTTTTCTGTTCTTTTAAAGATCTTTACTTACTTCAATCTCCTGAAGATATGGGTCCCATATTTTCTTCCAGAAGCTTTGTTGTTTTGCCTTTTACATTCAGAGCTATAATCAGCTTAGAGTTGATTCTATTGTATGATGTAAGGTGATGCCAGGATTTATTTTTTCCACGTACCTTTGTCATTGAAACAGCACTCCTGGTTGAAAGGACCATCACTTTCCCATGGCGTTGTGAGTCAGTTTCTGTTCTGTTCATTCTGTTCCACTGGGATATTTGTTTATCCTTGCACTAATACTGCCCTACCTCAATTACTGGAGCTTTATAGTAAACCTTGATATTTGCTATAATATTGTACTAAATATAACCTTCATTATATTTCCTCAGGAAGGTGGTTATCGGGGTTCTGAGAGCCGAGAGCAGAGGCCAGGCCTCTTCTTGGGTGAGCCTAAATGCTCTGTCACGCAGCCTCCCATCCATGTTCTGCCTTGGGACACCATGTTCTTCAGCCTTCTCCATAGATCTCGGAGGACCATACTCCCAGGCTTCCAGCCTGAGCTTGTCCTTACGATATTACTCCACCTTGTTGCCCATAGTCAAGTGTTGTCACCTGACCCCTGTGATGCTAGAATCCTGTCACCCCAATCCGAACCAAGTTGTAGTTCAGAATCAGCATCTTTGAGAGCCAATCAGCATCTGTCTACCGAGGAGGCTGGAGGAACCAGGAGAGTGTGCCTGGGAGTGGACACTGGGTGGTGGCTCAGGGGAGAGGAATGAAACACTGGATGAGAGGGACTTTGCTGATGCAGAGTATTTGAGGGCACAAGTACCATCTTATGGAGGAAGAAACAGAGGCCCACTTTGTCCCTGTTACTGGCCACATGGTTTATTAGGAGCAGGTGGCCTGATTCTCAGATGCTCAGTCACCTGCTTCCTCATGTGTGGACCTTCTTTGGCTGGTTATGAATTCCTGCCCCACCTGACCTGGCCCCAGTTACTCCTTATCTCTCCACCTCTCCTGCTCGGATCTCCTTTCATTTGTGGAGCTCCATTGCCCTCTTACCTCCTGTGAATCTCATCAGCATTCGCTGCGGTGAATTCTTCTTCCCCTTTAGCAGATGAGCTGACGCTACAGAAGGAGGTACAAGTCTTACCCTTGGTCCCCAAACTAGAACCGAGACCTCTACTTGCTGGTCTGGTGCCCGAGTCCCAGTGGCTCCCTCTCATCATTTGTCTTCCGTCCCACAGAAGGACATTATGTCCCCACAGCACACTTGGCAAGCCGTTATCTTGCAGTGGATTTCCTGCAGGGATGGGGCTGGAGCAAGCCTCAGCAGCTGGGCAAGCATCTGTCCCTTACTGGTCAGAGGGAGCCACACACGAGCGAGGCCAGTCCTCCAATCCATGTGACGTTCCCTCTGTACCTGGGGGCTTCACAGCTTCATTTGGAACTCTCAGGTGTGTCAGGAAACTGCATTTCTGAGACAGGCAAGGGGGTTCTGCCCTTTCTGTAAGGGGTGAAATTGTTTTCTAGGTTCCCCCGTCATGTGGAGGGTGAGGCACAGGCCCTGGAAGCAGGATTTGGGTTCCAGCAGGTGGAAGAAGGTGAAGATGCAGTTAGGGGGGTAGGAATGTTTTATTCAGAGGTGACAGCAGCCTGCAGCCTCCAGCTTCAGATTTACCCCAGCTAGTTCCATGGAGCCCCTCCCTCTCTCCCCCAGTAGTTCCATTTTACCCGCCCTCCCCTGAGTCAGTTCCACAGGCCCTTTTATATGCAGGCCACACAAAGAAGGCACACTGCCCACAGGTTCCCTATGCATGCTCACGGCAGATGTGTGACCTTGAGTACATACACTGAGTCAGAGCGTTTCTGATCCTGACCACACATCGACCTTAATACAATTGACTCATGGCCTTGGCCATACGCTAAAAAACGCAACAGAACCTGCGGGAAACCGTGGTGAGGGAGCCTGACTACAGCCATTGTGGGCCTGCCCCTATGTCCCTATTCTGCCTGTCCTAGGGACAAGGGTAAAAGGGATACACTGCTTTGCCACTTTCTTGACTACAGATAGAATAACCATGGCCAACACATAGAGCAGGCACCACCTGCCAGTATTCTCCCAAGAGCTTCATCTGTACTAAAATCTGATTTCCACGGTAAACTGGGGGCTCTCTGCCACCATTCTCACCATTTTTACTCATGAGGACACAGACACAGAAGTCACATGGCATCTGGGATCTGTTTTTTCCTGTACAGGGGATTGAATCCAGGGGTGCTCTACCCCTGAGCTACATCCCAGCCCTCTTGATTTATTTATTTTTTCTTTTTCGTTTTGAGACAAGGTCTTGTAAATTGCTGATGCTTGAACTTGCGATCCTCCCTCCTAAGCCTCCTGAGTAGCTGGGATTACAGAATCTGTGATTTTTTTTTTTTGACAACCTTGATTTTATTTGTTTTTATTTTGATGTGGTGCCGGGGTTCGAACCCAGTGCCTCACGCATGCTAGGCAAGTGCTCTGCCACTGAGCCCCAGCCCTGGCCCCACAATCTGTGCATTTTAACCAGAGGCTTTTGGAGGCTGTTTTGGCTGCTGTTGGCTCCGTGCCCATCCGTCCCCAGAGCTCCTCTCCTTTATACATTCGATTTCTCTGGCTCCTAAGTACAATTTTGTTTGCAAAATGTATCTTGTAATAAAATCATTGGGAAAGGGAGGATGGGAGGCTACGTAGGGGATACAGAGACATTTCCAAAGAACAAAGTGCAGCTTTATTCAGTGCACGTGTGTGTGTCTGTGTGCACACGTGAGCTGTGGCAGTTGGTAGAAGAGTAGAGCCAGGGAACCCTGATATCAGGGAGGCTGACAGACTCTGGGGGCAGAGGAGCTGTTTAGGGGGAACGTGGGGCCCCAAGGAGAGGCTCTATTTAAGGGAGCCCTGAAGAAGAGCTGTGGGGAGCGCCAGGGTGCAGGGTGGACGCCCACTGGATGCTGTAGCCTGCCCGCCCTCCATGGGGAATGATTTGGGGCACAGAGCAGTAAAGAGGAGGTCCAGTGGGTTGGCAGCCTTGTCCCTGGCCCCGTAGTTTCCTGCTGGGGACAGACTGTGGTCCTCCTGAGGCCGGGTCTTGGAATCTTCTGACCTGATGAAGATGGACATGAAATCCAGGCAGGCAGCTAACACACAGGCAATGTGTTTGGAGCGTCCGTTTAGGAAGGAAGATGCAGTTCTCACAAGAAGACATCAGGCTGGGCACGGTGGCACACGCCTATAATCCCAGCATCTGGGGAGGCTGAGACAGGAGGATCGTGGGTTCAAAGCCAGGCTCAGCAATGGCGAGGTGCTAAGCAACTCAGTGAGACCCTGTCTCTAAGAAAAATACAACTAGGGCTGGGGATGTGGCTCAGTGGTCAAGTGCCCCTGAGTTCAATCTCCAGTACCAAAAACAAAAACAAAAAAAAAAAGAAGACGACATGGGCTGTAACAGTTGGGTTGTGTATGTATCAGTCCTGGTCACTGTAGTGTGCACATCTGCACATACAGCATCTATGCTGGACAGTGGACTCCTGCAGGACAGGATCTGGACTGGCTCTAAACCCTCATCCCAGACATGGATGGACACTAGAAACTCAGAATTTCTTTATTTTTCTTTTTCTTTTTTTAGTTGTTGATGGACCTTCATTTATTTATATGTGGTGCTGAGGATCAAACTCACTACCTCACATGCTAGGCAAGTGCTCTGCCACTGAGCCCCAGCCCCAGCCTGAGACTCCGGATTTCTGCAGAGTGCAGAAGCTGGGCTTCAGGGTCAGCAGGTCTTAGGTTCAAATCCTGACTTTGTCATTTATTAGGGTAACTACTTGGGAAATCTAGCTCAGCTCTCAGTTCCAGTTCTGTCAATTAATCGGATCGCCTGTCATGCAGGGCATTCTCAGGGATTAAACGGGAGAAGCTTTGGAAGCTCTCAGCACCCCACCTGGCGTGTGGTAATGTGGCACTAATGGCAACCGCTTTGCATTATCAGCAGTGAATGAAAGTTGGTTGAATGACTCACTGGGTACATAATGGGAGACTCGGATTCCACTTGCAAATCCCCAGCCGCTCTATTACCTGGGGCACAGCAGACCTCTCCCCTCTTCCACTCCCTGCTATTCCAGCCCCATAAGATTAGGAAGGCCAGAGGGCTGGGCATGGGGGCTGGGTTGGCAGGCGCCTCTGAGCCCCAGGGCAGGGTCTTGGGTGTGAGTCTCCACCAAGAACAGGGTCATGCTGGGGCAGCTGAGGGAACAAGCCCCAGGCTCCCAGCCTGGGCCCAGCCCAGATCCAAGTGCCATAAAAGGGGCACCTCTTCACCCTGGAGCACACCTCTCTCCGTCTTCCTCCTGGTGCCTCTTCCTCAGGGTCTGGTGAGTCCCCGCTGCCTCTTGCTTGTAGGTTCAGGCGCAGGGCCCTGGCCCGCTCTGCTCACAGCAGGAGACTCTCCCTGGGCGGCAGGGCGCTGGACAGTCATCCCCCATCTGCACCCACCTCGGCCTCAGCAGGCTCCTCTGGGCAATGGAGAACGGGCTGGGTATCTAGCTCCTTTCTGTTCTGACTCCTGGTGGCTCTGTGACATCCCATCCTTCATCGGGAACCAGTGGGACAATGTCTTCCCAGGCAACTGAGGACATGGCCGGGTCTAGGTTTCCAGAACTGTCTCTACCCCTACAATCCTTCATCCTGTGGTTTGGGGGCCCCTGGGCTCAGGTCTCCTCAAGATGCTCAGAGGCACCGAGGGGCTGGGGGTCAGCCCTTGCCCCTAGAGCTGGGAGAAGGACAGTCCTATCCACAGTCTCGAGAGCAGATGCACCACTTCCCTTTGGGGATTGCATCCCATGACCTTGATGGCACTTGCCAATGCAGCTTCCACTCTGGCAGGGCTCTGGGGGGCTCTTCTGGTTGGGCCCAGAATGTGTCCAGGATAATTGTATGTGAGTGGGGGGCCCTAGGACTGGCCCAGCCCCTCCCCGTCTGTTTCCTGCAGCCTCTCCTTGGAGGAGGACGCTGGGTGACTGCGTGTGTTTCCTGCAGCTTGTTGGAAGACGGGATGGGTAACACGGAGGCCGAGAGGATGATGACGGGCTTGCTCCACCTCTACCACCAATACGCCCAAGACTCAGGGGCTTTGGACAAAGCTGGCTTATCCAAGATGCTGCAGGAGAATTTCCCCACCTTCCTGTCGGCCTGTGTGAGTGGGGACCTAAGTGGGACGGGGCAGGAGGGGGCAGCAGTGAGCAGCACTGTGGCCCTGCTGCCCCCCAGAGTACCAGCTCACTGGGGGGCAGCCATGGGACCGGGCTGACTGGCGTCTTGTACCTGGACCCAGCCTTTGGCAGGCCCATCCCCTTGAATCCAGACTGTGGTGGACAGACCCAGCTTCCTGCGTAGCCACTGTCATTTCCGTGTCACACTGTCACAAATACCAGCCACCCATTTCCCCTAGTTACCTCAGACATCTCATGGCGACATGGGCACCTCTTTCCCAGGGTTGTTATGAGCATTTAAATGGGCAAAACACGGAAAATACTTTGGGAAATGGAAAGAGGGGTAAGGCGGTAACAATTGTTATTACCTAGTCAGCCGACATGGTGATCTGTGGGTCAGGGAAGGTCTCTGACGTGATTTTCCCTTTCGGTACTTGGGATTTAACCCAGGGGTGCTCTACCACTGAGCGACTTCCACAGCTGTTTTTACTTTTTATTTTGAGACAGGGCCTCACTGAATTGTTGAGGCTGGCTCTGAACTTGCAATCCTCAGCCTCTTGAGCCACGGGGATTACAGGCTCTCTGTTTTGAGTAGCAAACAGTCCTCCTTTTAGAGTACAGCTGCTTCTTTTCATGTACCCCTGGGAGTCGAAGTAACACATTAGAAATCAGGTGCCAAGTGAAATGAGATACCCCCGAAACCTCCAGCCCTTGAATCTCCTCACCATAGTCCTAACCTCACTATTGAGTTATCAGCACACACCAAACTCACTGCACAAAGAATTCAGTAGGTCAAATCCCAGAGGTGAGACCCCCAAGGGCACTCAGCATTGGCGAGTTTGGATGGGAATGAGGGTGGAGGCCGTTTTGAGGTCCAAGGGGTGCCAAGCCAGGAAGAATGAATGCGCTTATCAAAGGCCGTGGGCAGAACCTCCTGCCAACTCTGACTTCCTGTGTATGTGCTCACTGGAGCCCAAGAATTGCCAGTTAAAAAGCTCCGAGTCAGAGGGAGTCTATAATGCCAGCTACTCAGGAGGCCGGGGCAGGAGGATGGAAAGTTTGAGTACAACCTGGGCACCTTCGTGATGCCCTGTCTCAAAGTAAAACAGAAGAAGTTTTGGGGACGTAGCTCAGTATGAAAGTGCCTCTGGGGTCAACCCCCAGGACCAAAACAGAACAACCACCACCCCCAACTCAGGCGAGTCCCCGGCTCTGTCCAGCACGGTCATCTCACCGTCCCTCCTGCAGTCCTTGCCCTGACCCCCAGATGGTCCTCCCCCTCCATTCCCTCCTCTTCCTCCTGTCCAGCCCAGGTTGTAACTTCATTTTCTTTTGTTGGTGATCCTCTCTCCTTAGGAAAGAAAGAGCCCGGATTTCTTAGAGAAGTTCTTTCAGAAGCAGGACGTGAACCATGATGAGAAGATCCGCTTTCCTGAGTTTCTCTCCAGTGTTGCGACAGTGGCCATGGATATGTACACCGAGTCCCAAGGCCAGAAGCCCTGTTCCGAGGGCTAGAGACCCAGCCCCACCCAGCCCCGCCCAGCCCTGAGGTCCCCACTGAGGCCTGGGGTCAGCAGACCCCAACCAATAAACTGCTGTCTCCGTTGCTCTCGGGGTTGGTGTTATTTGCCTCTTTCAACCCTTGATGGGTTGTTTCATGGTTTTAAAAAGTTCTATTTCCCCTTATAGCTAAGGTTTGGAAATCCGACGCGTGCATCAACACACACACACACACACACACACACACACACACAGAGACACACACACATAGACACACACACACAGACACACACAATTTTTGTGGTTTCCTTTGAAATTTAAACTTGCACACAATATAAGCTAGACTGGAGTCTACTCCTGAACAATATAAAGATTTCGCTTTGAGAGATTCTCCTTCCAATTTATATACTATTATTTCTCCAGCCTTTTAGCTCTACCTGTTAAAAACTTCTCCCCTAATTAGGAATTATTATTATTATTATTATTTATTTTTGTTTTTGGTACTGGGCATTGAACTCAGGGGCACTCAACCACTGAACTGCATCCCCAGCCCTATTTTGTATTTTATTTAGAGACAGGGTCTCACTGAGTTGCTTAGTGCCTTGCTTTTGCTGAGGCTGGCTTTGAACTCATGATCCTCCTGCCTCAGCCTCCACAGCAGCTGGGATTATAGGCATGAGCCGCAGCGCCCGGCATAGGGATTATTATTTTTGATTGATACGAATATTTGGTTTGAATTCCTCCCTGGTCTACTGACCACTCCCTTTGCCCTTCAGCTCTCCCTCCTAGGGTGATTTTCTTTTTCTCATAGTACTTGTTTTTGAGAATCTGTGGGGGTTAGCACTCTCAGTTTTTGACTATCTCAAGGTGTCCTTTCACCATGTGAATCTTTAAAAAAATTATGAAGGATTTTTTTTTCAAATACAAAAGTAGAGAAAATAATGTGATGATTCCTCATGTATCTATTGCCCAATTTGATGATGGTCCATACACAACCAATCCTGTTTCATTTGTAATTTCACCTACTCCCATCCCTAGTTATTTTGGAGCATATTCCAGATATGATATCATTTTATCACTATTTCAATTTGTATTTCTAAAAAATAGGGACAACCTAAGAAACCCATAGCCACATTACTGCTGTCACACCTAAAAATCACAGACACTGTTTCTTTAACAAAACCAAACATCCAATCAGTGTTCGCATCTCCAAATGTCAGGGAATTTTTTCTTAAGTTTTTTTTTTTTTTAAACTGAGAGCAAATAAAATGCATACATTACAAACGGTGGATGGTTCTTGAAAGGGTACACCTTCTACCCCCATGTCTTCTTTTTCCCCATTATTTTTGTGGTTGTCACTGAAGAAAATGGGTCATTGGTCCCACATGATTTCCCAGGGCCTGCCTCCATTTCACCGATTGCATTCCTGTCTTGTCAGTTAACAGATTCCACCCCTTCTTTTAAAATTGGTAGTTAGGTCGACAGCTTTGGTTTTATTCAGGGCTCATTTTTTAAAAATTATTTTTCAGTTATACATGACAGCAGAGTATATTTTGACATATCAACCATACATGGAGTATAGCTTCCCATTCTTGTGGTTGTACGTGATGTGGAGTCACGCTGGTTGTGTGTTCATATACAAACATACGAAAGTTATGTCTGATTCATTCTCCCATCTTTCCCATTCCCATTCCTTCTCCCTTCCCTTCATTCCCCTGTTCAATCCGCTCCCCACCCCCATTGAGAGTCAGCATCTGCGTATCAGAACACTCAGCCTTTGTTTTGGGGGAGTGGCTTACTTCACTTAGCTCGGTAGCTTCCAGTTCCATCCAGTTACCAGCAAAAGTCATGATTTCATTCTTATTTATGGCTGGGTAATATTCCATTTGGCATATGTACCACGTTTTCTTTATCCACTCATCTGTTGAAGAGCACCTAGGTTGGTTCTGTAGTAGCTTAGCTATTGTGAATTGGGCTGCTCTAAACATTGATGTGGCTGTGTCACCATATGCTGATTTTAAGTCCTTTGGGTATACGCTGGGGAGTGGGATAACTGGGTCAAATGATAGTTTCACTCCAAGTTTTCTGAGGAATCTCCATACTGCTTTCCAGAGTGGTTGCACCAATTTTTAGTCCCACCAGCAACGTTATAAGTAAACCTTCCCCTTTCCTGCCCCCCTCATTCTCACCAACATTTATTGTTGCTTGTATTCTTCATAATTGCCATCCTGATTAGAGTGAGATGGCATCTCAGTGTAGTTTTAATTTGCATTTGTCCAAATGCTAGAGATGTTGAACATTTTTTCATATATTTGTTGAATATATGAAGTGTGAAGTGTCTATTCAGTTCTTTTGCCCATTTATTGATTAGGTTGTTATTATTATTATTATTATTATTGGTGTTAGGTTTTTGAGTTCTTTATATATCTTGGAGGTTAATACTCGATCGAGGTGCAGTGAGAAAGGTTTTCTCCCCGTCTGAAGGCTCTTTCTTCCTGTTCTTGATTGTATCCTTTTCTGTAAAGAAGCTTTTTAGTTTGATATAATCTCAGGGCATTTTTTTAAAGCCAAGTTACTTTACATGTGGCTTTGACTATTTGTGTCAAGAGTACATATTATCTCTCTTTTTTTTTTTATCAGCCATGAATGATTATTGCCAGCACCAGGGGAGTCTCCCCCTGCCTATCCCACTCTGACTTGTGCAGTGGAACTTGTCGGGAGAAGAAGGTGCTGACCTTGTTGACAGGTCACACTTTGTAAATTTGTGCCCTCTGTCAGCACCTGTTCTCCTGGGGTTTTTAACTTCATGTCTTTAAATAATAGCTATCTGCTTATGACTTCTCAATTATATTTTATCCAGAACGTCTCCCCTGAACTCCAGGCTAGTATGTCTAATTACCTATTTAAGTGCCTATTTAAGTAGGTGTTACCTATTTAAGTGCCTATTTAAGTAGGTGTTACCCGTTTAAGTGCCTGATAGGTCCACCTAACTTGACACGCCTAATTCAAACTTGTTCCACCTGCAGTCTTTTATATCTCGTTTAATAGCAATTCCAAACGCCAGGTTGCTCAGGTCAAAAAAATCCTTGGCATTATTTGTGATTTTCTCTTTACATTCAAAGTCATATAAGTTAATGCCTCTTTTAGCTCCCATGTGTTATGTGCTAGGGCTCAAGAGAATTCTACATAGTTGCGTTGTTTGTGTTAAAAAAGCAGGTTTTATTGGGGGAAGTTTACAAACTTTCTGGCAAGAAGAGAGGACCCAGGTTTCACGGTTCCCTCCATTGTTCCCCCACACGGCACATTAAGACATGGAATTTCATTGAATATGCTGGTGTGTGGATATTTCAGAACTTTCACTTTTTATAGGGCAAAAACTATACCACCCTTGAAAATGGAAGAGTAAACAGACTTTTGGTGCCAGGCACTTGGAGTTAGGGTACCAGCTGTGCATAGGCATAGCCTGTTTGGCAGCTGTGACTCCCGGGGAGCCTGGGAGCCATGAGTTGCACGCCTACTTATTCTGTAGCGTTTGGTTTGCTTCTGCATTTCTGAGCCATAGTCTGGAATCATATTTTTTGCCTGTATTAATTTTAGAATGTTTATTTAATGAGGTTATGCTTGAAGATGCCTTTGTTTTGCTTTCATTTTTAAAAGGATGTGTGTGTGTGTGTGTGTGTGTGTGTGTGTGTGTATTAAGATATTGTTCCATCGTCTCTGGTTTCCATACTTCTGCTGAGAAGTCAGGCTGAAAGTGTTTTGGTGCTCCTTTGAGGGTAGTGTGTCCTTTGCCTTTTCTCTTCTTTGTCTTTGGTTATCTGGTACTTTACCGTGGCTTGCTCGAGTGTGGTTTTCCTTGAATGTACCCTAATTGAGGTTCATAGTGTTACTTGAATATGTTCCTTGACAGTCTTCCTCATTTTTGGAAAATTTCAAGTCCTTATATCTTCAAATATTGCTTTTCCCCATTCTCTTTTGCATCTCTTAACTTGTGTTCCATTTACCTACATGTGAGACTTTTTACGTGAGCTACATCCCCAGCCCTTTTTAATTTTTATTTTGAGATAGGGTCCTACAAATTGCCAAGGCTGGCCTCAAACTTGCAATCCTCCTGCCTTAGCCTCCCTAGTATGTGAGATTACAGGCATGTGTCACCGTGCCTGGCCAGAGAGACTTTGTCTTTTTTCTTTTTTGTAGTGGGACTTTTTAATTACAACTCATATAAAAGTCTCAAGTGTTTTTTGTGTTATTTTGCATTATTTTCTCAGTGTGATTCCAAGTGATTATTTTCTACCAATCTTCCAACACTAATTCTCTCTTCCCTGTGATTAATTTACTGTGAAGTCTGCCTGCTGCAGCCCTCATTCTAGTTTCCTTATTTTAATTCTGGAATTTTCAATAAAATCTTATATTCTTTTAAATTTAACTTCTCTGTGGGAATTCTTTATTTTGTCAGTTACTTTATTGAACACATTAATCACATGATTTTCTCAAGGATATGTTTTTATTAAAAAGTTAAGCTCTACGTTTGTGCCTTCCTTTACATCTGAAATGATTATATAAGCCCTTCAGGCAGTGGCTTTGATTTTGGGTTTTTTTGGAAGTTGTGCTAGTGGGTCCCACTGGAATATTGCCTCTCCCTGGGCACTTCCCCTGGGATAATGGGCCCTGCCTACGCATGTGCTGGACAGTTTGTCACAGTTAATTTTATTAATGTGGATGTTCAGTAACTAGATCATCTGGGGTTTCTTCCATTTTCTCTTTGTCTATGTCTTTTGTCGGGGAGTAAATGGCATAAATAAATATATTGGTTGTAGTTGGACACAATATATTTATTTGTTTGTTTGTTTGTTTATTTATTTATTTATTTATTTTTGTGTGGTGCTGAGGATTGAACCCAGGGCCTCGAATGTGCTAGGCGACACTCCATCACTGAGCCACAACCCCATCATATTTTTTTTTTTTGACTGAATGCTAAATCCCAAATGGGAAAATTTTTTTTATAGGCTAAGGATGATTTTTGTTTTCCTCTATAAAGAATTTTCTGGAGGGCAAATAAACTTAATTCTAAGATGGGATAAAGTTGATTCGAGACTGGGTTTTAGGAT